CAACACATTTTCCTCTTGGATCAATTCCTTCAAAATATTCTAAAACTAAGTTTGCCTTAGTATATTTCATTTACGTCAAATTCTTTTAATTTAGTAAATTAATCTAAACAAAGGATGTCACGACCCAAATCGGGCCGCGACTGGCACCCACACTCATCCTATTATGTGAGCGAACCAGCCAACCTAAACCCCACCATTTCAACCATAATAAACAAAATAAAATGCGGAAGACTTAAAACTCATTAACGAAATCAATAATTAACTTTTAAAACTCAAACTTATTATTTCCCCAAAATCAAGAAGTCATCATCACAAGAACATCTATCCTCTAATTACTAAAGCTAAGAGTATCTAGAAAGCTTAGAATAAATAAAAAGCTAGTCCATGCCGGAACTTCAAGGCATCGAGACATGAAGAAGAAGATCCAGTCCAAGCTAGAAGTGTAGCTCACCCTGAAATCCGGTGTAATGAAGACTGGCTAGAGTTGCGGTTGAGTTGAAGACGACGGCACGTTTGCTGCACTCCACAAATAACAAGGAAAGAAACATACAAATAGGGGGTCAGTACAAAACACGGGTACTGAGTAGATATCATCGGCCAACTCAAAATAGAAAACAATATATATCAAGTAATAATATAAAATCAACTACATTACTCAACATGTAGCAACAACAAGTACTATGATCGTCAATAAGTACCGCCAAGTTCACACATGAGGACTCAAGCCTCAATACCATACTCATTTGGGAATTAGGTTCATTAGATTGAGTATATTAACATCTTTCAAGATTCATCACCTTTATTCTTGTGTCGGTACGTGACACTCCGCTCCCCTACTACTATGTGGAACGTGACACTCCGATCCCCTAGTTCTACGTGTCGGTTCGTGACACCCGATCCCCTAATTCTACGTGTTGGTTCGTGACACCCGATCCCCTAATTCTACGTGTCGGTTCGTGACACCCGATCTCCTAATTCTATGTGTCGGTTCGTGACACCCGATTCCCTAATTCTACGTGTCGGTTCGTGACACCTGATCCACTAATCTCATTCTATTAATTCATCAAGCCTTCTTTTATACCAAGGCATCATCAATCTCATTACTTTAGTTCATTAAGCCTTCTTTTATACCAAGGCATCATCATTAATAGAGAGGTTTTTAAGATTTAAGATTCAACAGCCTCATCATGCTAATTCATCACAATTACATAATCACATCATGCAAGCACACAATTAAGCATATAGAAGGGTTTACAATACTACCCAATACATATCATTCGCTATTAAGAGTTTCACTATGAAATAGCATAAAAACCATAACCTACCTCCACCGAAGATTAGTAATCAAGCAAGCAAGTTCCCAAAGCTTTGTTCTTCTTCTCGTTTCCCCTCTTTCTCTTTCTGTTCTTTTCTTTTTCTTATTCAAACCTTCTTTCTTTTACCCTAATTAGCATATAATTAAGAATAAAAGATGGCAATAATAACCCACTAATTTAGTCAAGGTTACCTCTTTTAACCCCCAAGTAATTAGACTTATTAACATTAACCCACTAACTTTATAATTAAAGCAGGAATAGTCAAAAACGTCCCTTAAAACATTAAAGAAATCCGACTCCGCCTGGGATTACGTAGCCTGTGACGGCCCGTCGTGCCTGCGACGGTCCGTCCTGCTGCTCCGTCACAGAGTTCAGAGACTCAATTCCCTTAAAGAGTCTGTGACGGTCCGTCGTGCCCACGACGATCCGTCCTGCCATTCCGTTACGAAGTTCAGAGAGTCGATTTCAGTACCCAATTTTCAGAATTCTAAGTATTTTGGAACGAGACACCCCCGACGGTCCGTCGTGCCCATGACGGTCCGTCGTGGGTTCCATCGTCTCAGCCAGTTTTTCCAGAAATAAAATCTGCTGCTCAAAACGACTAAACAGGTCGTTACAAAGGATTAGATTAATTTATGTTACTTATCATGTATACTTCTAATCTTACATATTTAATTCCCATCATCTTAATTTTTATCATTTGCGTGATCTTGAAATTAATTTTTAATTTTAGTTTGAGATAAAGAAGTTCCAACTCATTTTTCAAGATAATATGTCCTTTATTTAATTTATTCTTATCCTAGAAGACTAAATTAACCATTTAGTGGGAATCTATGCTCATTAAATTTTAAATTAAATAATCAAAAGATTAGATTAGCTTGTGCATATCAGATAAGCATGAATGAACTAACAAAAATCACTAAACTTTTTGATCATGGTGGTAATTTTAATTACATGACTAGGAAATACCACTAAATGAATTGATTAATTGAGTGGTGTCACCTATTGCCATTAACTTATTATCTATTTTGTATTTTCTATATTTTCATATTAGTGGTAAACATTATTATAAAGATTCGATTAAAAATATTTGTCATATTACAAAGAAAAATACATTCATTAACTTTTTTCCATTTTGCATTTATGGTCAATGTTGTTACATGCATGCATTATGAAGGGGAACAAGTGGAGAACAAAGTTACATGGACCAATAAATTTATAAGCATAATAACATATTCAGTATAATTATATAAGTAAAATTTAAAAATATTTATAAATAATAAGAATGTTTCCGACATTCTCAACTTAAGAAAATATTCAAAACATTCCTAACAAATATTATTAAAGAAAAGTCTCTTAGTAGTAATCATATAATAAACAAATAAATTAATTAATGATTTGATTCTAGCTCTTTGAGTAGCTCCTTTTTTCCCCAAGAAAATTTTTTATAGTGCATATTTTTTTAATGTTGAAAAGCTGACCAATAATGACTAAGATTAATCTTTTTTAAAAAAATTACTTTACGAAACTTTTTATTTTTTACTTTTTTGGCATTTAGCTTGATTATTTGATGTGATGTTTGATTTTCAATAATTCATTACTAGTATATATATATATATATATATATATATTATATATTATGAAATATTTTTTTTCCGTTTATCTAAGCAACACATCATTACATTGATTTATAGATTTTATGAATTAATACATGCTATATTATTTTTAAAAAAAGAATCATAGACATATTAATCATTCAAACAAAGAATCATCAAAAAAATTGCAATTTTCTTTATAAAATTTGATTGAAGGTCTAATTTTGAAGAACTCAAAATAATCAAAAGATAAATAACTTAGAATAAATGAAGTCCCTACAAATTAAAGAGAAACATTACAATATAATTTATACAACATTATTTTATAGTACTCCTTTTCAAAGATTAATTGGATATCTATCTTTCATCTTTATGGTTTACCCTACTTCTGTCTAATGTCTAATTCTATAACTTTTTAAAATGATCCCCACAAATTAAAAAAAAAAAGATTCCAAGTGTTCTCAATTTCCTCTTCTTTTTTTTTCTTTGGGTAGGGGAAGAGCTCGACTTATAACAACATATTTAGTAAAATTGCATAATTGATGTTTGAGGAAAATATATTATATACAGATTTTATCATTATTTCGTAAAGATAGAAAGATTATGTATAATTTTGACAGTTATGTACAAGACAAACTCTTTTTAGAAAATGTACATAAGAATATAATGGCATATTCCAACACATTAAAATATTCTTTAACTTTTATTTATATAAAAATAATAATAGGCAATCCAACCTATTTCATATGATTTTCCGATATCTTATATTAAGTTGAAAAGTTTCCAAGTATTGAGGGGGAAAACAAGAATTTATTGGCACCATATGCTAATTCTTGTTCGAATTAATATCTTACATATGTTCCTTTTTTTAATTTATTTTTGTCTTCATGTATAAAAAAATTTAGCAAACACTTAAATAGTATAGTTTCGAGAAAAAGAAAAACTTATTATATTTGACCATTTTTATCTCTTTCTTTAATTTTCCTGTAGAAAATTTATGATTTAGAGAATAGAATTCAAACCTTGTAAGAAAAAAGCTTATCTCTTAATAATGAATTATATATGATTTTGGAGAAGTTAAATTAAATAGAAAAGTGGACACTAGAATTAAAGTCACAAGTGTAATTTAACGTGTACCAATAGAATATACTACTAGTTGATATTTTCAAACTTATCAAGATTAAAGATATACAATATTTTCCACTTAAAAATTTTGAATTTATGAGTTTTAGATTCTATTAAAAAGAAAATTATTAGATTTTTTATACAAAATAATATCACCATTAAAATTATTAAGTTCTATCGAATCTCGAATAAAAAGACTAGCTCCTTGTACGTAGCTCTTTGAGCAACACAATTATTTTAAAGATTTTTAAGCTATGCTTTTATCTTCCTTCAATCAGCATCTTTCTAACATATAATTGATTTGCTTTTGCATTCTCATCTCCCACTAAATAAGCAGTGGATAGTGTTACGAGGGACCGCCAAGGCCATGTAGATGAAATTAATATGAACCTACTAAATTCTTTTTCAATCTAATTTAAGTTAATATATACTAATAATATACGTGATTTTTAAATTACTAATGCAAATTAACTAACTATAATAGGTAATTGTTCAACTTTTAAGTTTGTTATATTAGACTTATATCGAGGAGATGTGATTAAATAGGACATGATACAACTTAATATTATTGAGGACGCGATCTTAGACAGAAGATTATAAAGGATACACATAAAGGTAGAAGGTTAGTAAGTAGTTGAGTCTTGCCTCACTTATCTTGCGTACTAGTAATTTATGTTATTTCTTCGTATTATTTTATTTTTCCTTCAAAATTCTTTGTCATACCTTGTTTAGTATCGGAAATGACTTCTCTAGCTACCAGATTAAGAATAAAGTCTGCTCTTTCTCAAACTTCACTTGTGAAATTATATTGTGATCACGAAAAACGTGATTGGTATAAAAAATAATTTAAATTGTAAAGAATACACAAAACTTAAAACTCCTGATTGCTTTTTTACCTAATTGGCCGTTACAAAAAGGGCCATTCTTTTTGTGTCATCTTTTAGAAAAAATACAAAACCTTCACGATACTAATCATACCCCTCATGCACATTATCAAATTGAATCATCAATTATTATTTTATTATAAGATAAGAAAAAACTGAAACAAAAAAAAAATCATTAAACTATCTTTGCCAATAACACAAAAAAAGATATGCCATCTTCACCACCAAATGTGTCACAAAAATGGCCAAAATACTCAATCCTAATCCAAAATACCCTTTCAGAGCTAAAATTGCAAAGAGGAATATTACTTCCTTTGATTGCTATGAACTTTACATGGTTTGCAAAAACAGCCATTACCACTGCATTTCTTGGTAGGCTTGGAGATGTTTATTTAGCTGGAGGTACACTTGGTTTTACATTTGCAAATGTAACCGGTTTTTCGATCTTGAATGGCCTTTGTGGTGCCATGGAACCAATTTGTGGACAAGCTTTTGGGGCTAAAAATTATAAACTTCTTCATAAAACACTTGTTATGACTACTTTGTTTTTACTATTAACAAGTCTGCCTATTTCTTTCTTATGGCTAAATGTTGATAGGATCTTAATTCACTTTGGCCAACAAGAAGATATTTCAATTATAGCCAAAAGTTATCTAATTTACCTCCTCCCTGATTTAGTTGTTACCTCTTTTTTATGCCCTTTAAAGGCTTATTTAAGTACACAAAATGTTACTATCCCAATTATGTTAAGCTCAACTTTAGCAATTGCTTGTCATGTACCAATAACCATGTTGTTATCAAGAAGTAAAGGGATTATAGGAGTGTCAATGTCAAATTGGATAACGAACTTCTTGATTATGTTATTGTTGGCTATTTATGTTGTGATCGCGGAGAATAGTAAAGGGGGGAAATGGAAAGAAGGAGGATGGTGTGAACAAGGATATCGCGATTGGATCAGATTGCTTAAGTTATGTGGACCATGTTGTCTTACTACATGTCTTGAATGGTGGTGTTATGAAATTTTGGTTTTGTTAACAGGGCATTTACCAAATGCTAAACAAGCTATTGGTGTTATAGCCATTGTGTTGAACTTTGATTATTTGCTTTTCTCTGTTATGCTTTCGTTATCAACTAGTGCATCTATTCGTGTGTCTAATGAGCTTGGTGCAGATAGTCCTGGCCTTGCGTATCGTGCAGCCTATGTATCGTTAGCTATGAGCATTGTCTCGGGGTTTGTTGGTGGCTCTGTTATGGCAGGGGCAAGGGGTGTTTGGGGGCCATTGTTTAGCCATGATAAAGGGATAATAAGTGGTGTTAAGAAGATTATGTTGATAATGGCATTGCTTGAAGTTGTTAATTTCCCTTTAGCAGTTTGTGGAGGTATCGTTCGAGGAACAGCTAGGCCATGGCTAGGGACATATGCAAATATATTTGGATTTTATCTATTGGCATTGCCATTAGGTGTGGTTTTGGCATTCAAGATTCATGTTGGTTTGGCTGGATTGTTGACAGGGTTTGTTGTTGGTGTAGCTTGTTGTTTGGCCTTGTTGTTGGTGTTTATTGCTAGGATTGATTGGGTTCAAGAAGCTAAGAAAGCACAACTACTTTCTTGTAATCTTGAAGAAATTGCTAATGATGATGAGACAAGTTAAAACTTCACAAGTTATTACTGAGTAGGACTCGTGAGTCGGGACTATAGTCTTGTTTCACCTACAATCAGAGGCGGATCTAGAACAGAGTTGGAGTTCAGGTTCAATTTATTAGTTCAATTAAACATGTTTGCTTTTGACTCGAACTATGTATACATATGTAAAAAAATGTTTATCTTACTCCTCTTGAATTCATAGCTACCTACAATTATTGTTTGACGAAACAATGTGAAGGAAAAACAATTCACAAAAAAAATACCAACTGTTAGTATATTTCTAGTAATTATATAATTTAATGATGAGTCATGTTTAATTTTCTGACTACAACTATTGATAGACAAAATAATTGACAAAAAAAATACCAAACTGTTAATATATTTCTAGTAATTGTATAATTTAATGATGAGTCATGTTTATTTTCATACCATATTCTCGTTATTAACGAGTTCTCAAAAAGTATGTATATGATAATCGCACAAATTTTATAAAATATTTGAGATTATAAGATTCAACAGTTTTATAACTATGAAAAATTAGATTGAATAAGTCGTATCATAGAGAGGCTCAATAACCAAAAAGCAAAAAGCTAAAGCATACAATAGGTAAATGCTTATTTTGAATTCATAATAGAATCTGTAGCTGTATGAATAAACTTATTTTGAATTCATACTACGAGATATGTCGTATGAGTTAGCGGGGTGGCTCAAATAAATGATTGGCATAAAGCCAAAATTTAGAAAAAAAAGTTATATTTATAATTGTTCATAATTTAATAATTAATTTTACTTTTTCAATGATAGTATAACATTCTGTAATATCTTATAAGACAATAATAAATATATATGAATTATTATATGTTGCAGAATAACACAAATGTTTGAATCTCTCTTATTAATTATATTTTTGAAAACTTTTTCAATAAAATAAATTGTTACATAAACTATCAATATTATTCTAAAAATGATTTATTTAAAAGTGAAGACTTCACTACATTGAATGCCAATCAAAGTATCATCTTTTTACTTATACAATATTTCATAATATTTTTAATTACAAAAACCAACATTGTAGTAATTGTTACCTTAGAAAACATTCAAAGTTAAAGACAATATTTTTAAAATTTAATTATTTGATAATCTAATTAGTTTGAGTTTGAAATGTTTACTATAAAACATTTCAAAGAATTGAAGACAATCTTACAAAGTCAATATTAAAGTATGGTTGATATAAATTGAAGTAGATTAGTCAAATTAAGAAATATAAAGTAACTATAAATTTAATTGTCTACTTTATTCAATTATAATTACATCTATTTATAATACTTTGTTCGAATGATTATTACGTATTGTTTTATAATGTATCGTGTTGTATTATGTTGTATTGTGTTGTTTAATTGAATACAATGTGCGGATAGCTTGTATGTTCTCCACCTTACATTCATAATTTGAATGATAAATCTATTAAAAAAAATGTAGAATACAGATAGAGCTACTATGAAACGGTAGCATAAGAGATAACATATAACTATTAAATTATAAATAAAGAAAAAATGAGAAGAACTTGGCAAGGTGTTTCTTTTGGGCCTGCAGTAGGACCAAAGAAGTCAGTCGGGTCGCCTGCAATAGGGCCGAAGAAGTTGGCAAGGTGTTTCTTTTGGGCTTCATTGATGGCCCAAATAAAGAAGGCCCACTGGAAATTAGCATGTTCACGGGTTGTGAACTTCCTTTCCTGGAGAAGAAGCAATAACGGTATCTTAGGAATAAGCATCAGCTAATTCTGTGTCAGCAATCGCGGTAATAAAGAGTATACAAGTGTTATCCAGAATGATTAGGCTCAAAGTGTAGGTGGCTTTTTAAGTATGTCATCAATCCCAGGGCTCAACCATGAACAGACGATGTGAACTATAAGCTGGAGTCCGGTAGGGGCAAAGGAAATTTTCGGTGGAGCTGTGGAATGCATAGAGATCGAAAAAAATACCAACGAAAAAGCACTATGCTGGCCCAACATGGGTGGCCCACTTCTCGGATAGCCCATTTACCTTTACTCAGTACTATTCTGGGCCTAAATAACAAGCTAGGCCCATCGTACTCGTATCTATTTTTTTTCTGGGCCTGAATCACAATCTAGGCCTTCTCTACTCCATCCTTTTACAAGGCTATTATTTAAATTTTTGTTCATATATCTTAAAAATGGAAAACTACCTTATTGCACGTACATTCATATCATATATATTAATTCTATCTATACTTTCAAATAATTATGTATCTTATCACTTATTAAGAGTTTTCTAATATATATTGAGGAAGATACACCTAGATATGTGCATTTTTGTAGCTAAATACACTAATAGGGAGAGAACCGAGCGAGCTGGGGAGGGAGGCAAGCAAGATAGTCATGTATTTCATATACACATAATTACACCAAATTCATGTATTTTGGAATATCATATACATTGGAGAATGATGAGCGAGATGACAGAGTAGAGCGAAAATTGTCTATATATCCCAAATATGTGTTAATTCACTTGGATACAATATATTTATATTAAACTATACTTAATTTTAACCCCATACATCCCGAGTTACATGTATCTAGACGCACTAAAATTTATTAAGATTCATAATATTGTAAATTAGAGTAATTAGCTCCTAAACTGTTGAATCTCTACAATTTTCCCTCTAAAAATTGTACAAACACAACTTTACGACCAACAAAAATATCAAACTATCGTCATTTATAAAATATTAACTAACGTTTTCTCATAAAATTTTCAATTTGCTCAAACGAGATTGTTAAACCATGATCTAATAACAAAACATTTCTGAACTTAGGTCCCTAAAATACAGGCTTTACTAACTTTTTATGCCATAATATGATGTCATTTCAACTAACAAACAACTAGACAATATATGCCCAACTTTATTTTCTTTTCACTGATACTTTAATTTGGACACTGAAAAAGTCTCTCCATATCAAAATACTTTTTTTTTATCAGCACAGATTTTAAGGTTCTTGTTTTGTATCCATTTTGTCGCGCATAATGTTATTGAATCAGCTTGTGTGTATGTTAATTATTTTATCAAATATTTATTATTGAGTCACACTTCTATTAATTTAAATATGTGCGGGTTTTTTATATGATTTTGGACAATTTTATTTTTTACGAGCCAATCTTCCTACACATAGGTATCTAAAAAAATTATTGAAAATCTTGTTGACATAATTAAGCTCTAGGACATATAGCAACAACGGCTCAGAAATTATTTTCAATTCCAATTATGATATTTCTAACTTTTTTTAATCATCTTTTAAATAGTGTAATTTTTGGCTCTATCTTAGCTTAAACTAACATACTGACATGACCTATATATAGCAATCATTCATGCATATATATTAGCCTTTTTTCTATAATCATCATCATCATTATATATATATATATAAATAAATGTTGCCCAAATCATTATAAATAGTTAAATTTACCAACTGTAGGAAGGTGTTGTAAAGCTAAATCACTGTATTAAAAAAGATCATTAGTAGGAATTAATTTTTAATTATAATTAAATATATATTTTTAGTAATAATTAGCATTATTTGTATATATTCTTAAAACATTTAGTGATATTAATTTTGATGACACTCAGCTAATATCGATAGAGATTTTAATACTATTTATTAATATTAATATTTAATTTCATTAAAAATTATTTTTGTTTCGATGAACGAAGGAACCATGTGACTATTGGAACTTTTTAAACAAAAATTGCGGTGGGGTTTTAAGTGTTTATTAACTAATCTTGTTGTCTTTTCAAAATTATGATGAACAAAAGTTCCCTACTTTCTACGTAGCTTCTTCATATATTAAAACACTTTCTGCTGGAATAATAACTCTGTTACATTTATATATTACACTGGTTCACTTTTAATTGTCATAGTTTCAGACGATAATAATTTTAATTAATATTTTATTATGTAATTTTTTTGTTATATTAATATGAAAAAAATTAGATTTATAATATTTTTAGTATAATTTTTAAATATTTAAATTTTTTATTTAAAATATTAAATTAATATAATTTAATTTAATTTTAAAAATTAGTTTTAATAAATACGGTATAACAGTTAAAAGTGGATATATGAAAGTATCAGTCAAAAATAATTATTAGTACTATACTTTGTCATCATAATGACTTCTTTTTTGTGTGTTGAAGTGAAATAAATTTGAGTATTGTCTCTGAATTACTGTTACATGTTACCTTAACTTTTCTGTTTCATTTCCATGTTATTATTGAAAATGTTCACCTTTTTTAATCTTTGTTTAGCTAATTATGTTTTTAAGTTAGCTATTTAAAGTTCTTATATACTTTATAAATTTTTCAACCTTTTTTCATTGCATCATCCCTTTAAAACAAAAAGATTGACAATAATTTAGTCCAATGATTTTTAGAATTTAAAGTTGATGACTTCTTAGAAATTTAAGGTTATTTAATTTGTTACTCGATCCTCAATATATATGTTTTATATTTTTTTAATATAAATATCAAATATGGGTGAAAGTTACTAAGGTCAAAGTTCTAGATCCACATGCCCTTTTATTTAGATGGATGTGAACATTTTAAGTGTCTAGCACTCTTGTCTGAGTACTTATAGATAGAGTCAAAATTTAAAACTTTATTATTTTTTTTGGTGGGGTTTATTGAATATATGTCTTGTTTTAATTAATAGGTAAGTTAGTTATTGAATAATTCACAAATTTAATAGATTATCAAATAAAAACATAAAAATTTAACTAAAAATTATTGAATTCATCTGAACTCGTGGTTCAACTACGGTCTCTTTACCAAATGGTCTTGGTAAGCTTCACATGCACTAGTTCGTTCATTAATTGTAAATGAAGCCGTTGAGATGGAGTAAATGATCTTCCTATATACATATTTATAATTTTAAAAAAGAAAACGATCGTTCATATAAAAATATAATCTCTTCTATTTTATTTATTTATATATCTGTTTGTGTTATATATAATCGATATTCTTAGATGGAATGAAAATGAAATATGAATAGGGGTATGTGGTCCTTCCCATGCTTTGAAAGTGTTAAATATTCTTACTTCATGTTTTAAAAAATTGTCTTTTTCTTTTGAGTTGTCTCGATTGTTATGTTATTTTCCGTCTTTAAATTGATACTTTCTCTTTGAGATGATTTAGTTAGTTTGGAGGGTGGTGCATTTAAATGAATTATTCGGAATTGATCTCTCTCAGTGTCTTCTAATTTGAGAATACATAC